ACCGAAAACCGGGGGGGGGGGGCCTCGCTTATAGTCGCGCACGCTTGAAATACGTGGAAATAATTGACCTATAGTGTGGCTTTCGCCCCTCTTCGTCGCCACTCTCCTCCACGGTACACCAATTAACCGTTATCGTGGACGCGCGCGCGTGTCTGCCATGCGTGGGCGTAATACCGTCGCTAAATAGCCAGCTATACGAATACTCTATTCTCCATCTATGCACGCTGGTGTTCCTCCTCTCGCGCGCAATTTCGATAGGATTTTCATCAATGGCAACGAACAGTACCACAGCCCTCCCCGTCATCTCCCTTTTTTGGCTTTTGAACCCTCTTTGAACGCGGTGACACGCCCTCCATGACGCGTTCTTTCTCTCGCGAGGCAATATCGATGATTCATCGATTATCGAAAGTCCACCGTGGAGGAAGAAACATTTTTTATCTTGTAAATCGATTCGATTTCGTTGACTTGCCAGAATCTCTCAAGGATCTTGTTAATCTTATAAATCGAGTAATCTGTCTCTGTTTCTACTACTAGAGAAACAGAATTTTATTCTATTCCAGTGGATCTCTGGAAATATCGATGCTAACCTGAGTATGTCGATCGAATTCGAGTACGATCTGAGAACGTATATACGGTCTATTTATAAAATAATATACACAGTTGCGTTTTTCGTGTCCTTGAAGCAGTGCTTCTAAAAGTGTGTAACGCCTTGAAAATATTAAAGAAAAAAAACAGAAAGCTTGGAAGGAAATACTGGGGATACAAACGCTTAAAAATCTGCAGACTCGAAATGGAAACAGGGAGGTATCAGAAATTACGATGGCATTTTTCTCGAGCGGACCAGAGATCTCGTTCTCGTTCGCCGTTCTATTTAGGATACCGAGATTGTGCAATGGGCGAATATAGTCCAGCGAAACATACAGCGACAGACTCGAGATAATAGTTCGAAGGAGTCGGCAATCGTAGCCTCGTTTCCGTTCCCCCGAGTGCACAGATTCGCGCCCGAGATCCCATTGATCAGTGTTATCAGCGAGTGTCGAGCCGGTGACTCTGGTTTTCGGACCAATCTTGACCTTACCGATTCGCTAGCTTGACCTCTCAGAAGTCGAAATGGCCAACTCCAACTTTTCAATCGAATTAAATGAATAAATTTTCAATAAGTGAACGTAATTTCTAATTACTAAATATTTAAATTAGCAATTTGAACCAACAAATCGCGATTCTTTGCAGAAATTTTATATCGACAAAGAGATGCTCTTTCTTTTACAAACTTTAATGATTTTCCTAGAATATGCAAAATGAAAGATTGTATTCCTCATTGTTATATTGTAAATTTTTTCTTATTTCTATACTGTCTGTGACTCGTTGTCACTTTCTTTTTTTTTTTTAACTCTGCATTTCGCAGAGTCGATTGATTCCGGAACGACTCGTTTATCGATCAGTGACGTTTCTCGCTGGACTCTCAAATTCAATAATCCGTCCGTGGACTCAGACGAGTCCATCGTTCCCCGCGCAACAGTAGAATCTGATCTACATTCACTTGATAAGGTTAAACGAACATTTGCGGCAATTAAGTGGATAGAAATTCAAATATTTCCGCATGGGGGTGAAATTTATTTGGATTTCGCGAGCGGCGTGAAAAGAGCAAGCCTTGAAATGTCACGAGAGCGACAAGGCGTTTCCGGTGCTCGCGTACCGAATGCACCGTCGCAGAGGATTTCCTTTGATCCCTTCATTTAGGTAATGAATCTTTTTCGGTCGCGGGCCTGACCGGTCCGACGACAAATAAAACTCGTGATCCCTCAAAGCGTGAATGTTCACTAAATTTAAGTGGCTTTCGCAATTAAAAGAAAAATAGCGGATTATCCAGCCGCACCCTTGCCCCCTGCGAGTGCCAAATCTCTCTCTGCCAGAGTCAGTGTTTCTGAAACACGGTGCGAGCAACCGACGAAACTCACAACTCGAAAGTAGCATTTTCAACGGCTTCGGAGAAACGTTGAAAGGTGTGAAACGCAGCGAGAGGCAACGATCTCTCCGTGATTGCACAATATTGGCACCGCAGTTGCAATCATTGAAACAAAGGGGATTCTAAAGACTACGGAGAAGCTAGCGATACAAGACAACCATGGTTATATCAATGTAAAATTGAACGATAAAAAGAAACATTGATACTGATGGCCAGTACAGCAAGACCTAAAGACATGGTCAAACCATCTTGCATCAGTGTAAGTATCAAAAACAGTAGCACAATGTTGACACGACAGCCAAGAGCCAGTAGAATGAAATAAATATGAAAGTCTAAATAACAGCTAGTGATACGAATCGACAATGGTCAGACACACCGGTCAGCACGAAACGACAGTGGACGAAATAGAGAAAAGAGAAAAGAGAAAAGCTAATCGAGACTGAAACGAGATAGATTCGAATCGTGAAAACAATTTCACGATCAGGACACACTGTATCAGCGTAAGTAGCGAGTTCAACGACAGCGGATGGAATGGCGGAGTTAAGTTAACGTAGACAATCAGTCAGCCCGGGGACTACGGATCCCCCGGCGTGTCGGGGCGTGAGAACGCGAACGAGCAAGAAAAACAATGGGAATTAGTGCCGGCGGAGGACTCGATTTGCCACCAAACGATATATCTCCGCTGTTTCTTTCTCCCGATCTCGCCCCCTACCTTGTTCGACCGTAGAGTGACCTTTCCGCCGCAGCGTGCGCAGCACCGGATGCTGCAGTAGTTGCAGATGTGGCCGACGCCGTCGGCGAACTTGGTTTTCAAGCATATGTGACACGTGGCGTGCAGCTCCACTCCCGCCTTCTTGTGCTTCTCCGAGCAGGCCCGTATCCTCTCCTCCAAGATCTTCACTTCGTCTTGCTTCCGTCTGCGAACGAACACAATACAAGGAAAGTATTATTTCTCTTCTGGCGAGATAAATACAGGGCGGGATGAGGAAAGGGAGAAGAGTCTACTTCGCGAACGTTAAAAATGTCGGGAGACAGAGCTCGGAAGAAATTTCCGGGAACGTCGGAGATCACGTGCTGAACGCGTTCGCATCGCGGATTGTGATAAAAGCGCAAGATCGATAAAAGTCGGATCGACTCGAAAGAGACTTCGCGCAAGTGGAGATAAGATCGAGAAAGGAATCGCGTTTAGAGGCAGTCGACGTCGTATGGAAATTACAGGCATCAAACGAACGAGGGACATCGCTACATCGTTGGGAAAGGACGAATGGTTCGCCAGCTTCGTCGAGTATGTAGACGCACGTATGTCTACGTACGTACGTGCTTAGCTGCGTTCTAACAACCCCTTCTTCGCCCTCTCGTACGCAGCGAGTAGCATAACAGATAGCAAAGTCCCGTTACTCGCGGTACGCTCGCATCGACGAACCTTGAGGAGGAAAACAGAGAAGAAAAGCGTGCTTCTTCGAGCGTGTAACTCGTCTCGAGCCGCCGTTAGATTCTCTGCGTAATTGCGGATCCTCGATTTCGAATG